AATTTGCTAAGATCTGCAAATGATAACATTGGATTTGTCAGCATAGTAAATCGATCTATTTTTAGGAATATACCGAAATTAACCAAACACAGCAGTGTTGTGTAAAATCAGAACACCAACTCATTCATCTATAGTGAGAAACCTGTCTGCCACAAGTCTAGAACACCTGTGTTGACACAAGTAGTGTGTTGGCTGTCTGCATGCTTATGTAAAGGGCCTGCAGGTCATCATTTGACAGCTCCCTGGAGTCAGAACAAGGGGAGACTTGCTCCAAGGCTCTATTCTGAGCCATTATGTATTAATACCTAAGTTTATTTGCACAGGATGATCCCCTCTCCCCGTTTCCCCTAAATTCCATAAATTCCATTGTATCTGACTTCATCCTCTCACCTGAACTCCATATCCATGTATCTGAGTGCCTCCTTCATGCTTCTACTTGGACCCTCAATTGATGCTTAGTGACTTCTAAGCAAGTCCTGTATTATGGGCTCTGGGCTATACTGAGGGGTAGAAATGAACTTGAACTCAGTCTGTCCTGAGTATCCAAAGGTGTATCTCAGCCAGGTCAGAAGTGAGGAAAGCCTGCCAGTGCTATCTATCATATAGGCTTTACCACAAAAAGATCATCTGGAAAACATAGCAGGTCTTTTTCACATCAAAAGCAATGTAGATTTAAAGGCTTTAATGTTTTTACATTGTTCAATTCTTGAATTTATTGCCAAAATAGTGATAAAAACATATGGCATGCAAAACATCATGATTAGATTAGCTATTTCTCTTTAACTCCCATGTAAGCACTGTAAAGCTCCTACTGGTATTAGGCTATTACACCACATTTTCCTAGGGTAGTCTCCTCTATTTAGATGGGACCATTTATACCTAACCAATGTTCCACCATCACTGTGCTGGAAAAAATTCTGTAAGAATAACATGAGAAGCATGTAAATTTTGCATTAAAATAAAACTGGCTTAATTCCAGAGATTTCACCTCGGCATTTTTAAATACCAGGCTAACAAACCAAATAAAGAAATGAAAATTAAATTCAGCCTGGTGCTCATATTTAAGAGCACACATGTGAGTTTGAATCCTGTTCCATTTCAATGCTGAAAATTCAGTGCTGAGCAAGGACTTTGTCACAAACATAGAACCGTAATTAGGCATCTGCCATGTCCCATACATTGTGAATAAATCAGCCATGGTCTCCACCTTCATAGAATCCACAGTTCAGTAAGGAAGATAATAAACAAGAACAATAATAACAACACCACAAATAAACACATAATTGCAAATTATATCACCCACCTTACCCTTTGTTACAAAAAAAATGTCATGGGGAAATTCATGTGGATATAACTCATTATATTAAGACCCTTCAAGCAAAAACTGTTTTTCTGGTTCTATTCTTGAAGATGTATATAAAAATTCACTGCACTTCCTTCCTATGTAACACCACTCTGTCTCCTCTTGCAGAATAATGTATTCCAGTTTTGTGCTTTCAAACCTAGTTGCATCTCATTACAGAGTTGATTGGATTTATGAACTTATTTTTAAGTATTGATTATTACATAGGTCTAGAAATCGTTAAACTGTAAGATCATCCATAGTAATACAAGGAGCTTATATAAGTAATGTAACTATTGAGCCAGAACCAGTCTGGTCAGGCTTTTAAAATATACAGGAATCTACTTCAGATATCAGTTTCATCATCTATCAAATTAAGGAGCTGGATTAGATGGTCTCAAAGGCTCTTTGTACACATAAACTGCTACAAATCACTTGAGAGACATTTCTACATAAAAACTTTCAGTGTACTATAAGCAGTTCCCTAGTGGATTGAAAAATTTTTTTTGTGTTGATAAAAATGCACAATCCAAAGACTTCAGATTAGTCTGGTTTTATTCCTTTTGTCTTTTTATAAGAGAAGATCCATTTGCAATCTCATGAGACCATTTCCCAGAGTTAGAGAGTTAGAGATTTTTCCTTGATCAGAGAACCTGAACCCTCCCTTATGATGTATTCTATAGCTTGCAGAATAGCCTGTTCTTTTACTCATTTGTTAGTAGAATCTGTGTTTTCTAATAAATGAGTTGCATCTGTTTTTGATTTGATTTTTTTCTTCTGAGTAGATAAAAAAGTGATTTGAGACTCCTGACAGAAGCCTGCATTATGTCTTTCTCAACAAGTAATATTATGATGCATGATAATCTCTTTGTGAAAGCCTCATAAATGGTGATGAATTGGAAGCAGTATTAAAAGTTAACCAATGCTTGCTTTATGTTCTGTAGCATTTGAACATACTTGCCTTATGAATACCCAACTAAATTAGGAAGGCTTCCATTTTTCTGACGGTGCTACAGGCTTGGATGTTTTCATGTGTGGCTAACAGACAGCAGATGGACTCCCAGTAACTGAAACTTCTCTACATTGTATTTGAAGGAAAGATATATTTGAGGAACCACTCATAGATATGTTGTCAATTTACAGGAGGATGTATATAAAAACTGACCTCGCTTCCATTTCTACTTGAAGATATTGCATTTCATTATTAAACTTGAGATGCCATGTAGTTCTTGGTGTGACTTGTTATGTAATCCATTTTCCACTTCTTCAATTGAGAATCATTTACGACCATGTTATATGTCTTGCCCTTAAGATAAATGTTCTGTCCATTTGTCCAATATCTCTGTCATTTACTCCTTTCAGTCTATGAATCAGCTATTATACTCCAGGTAATTTTTTTATCAGTTAAATTTGTCAATTGCTTTCCTAGACCCTGAGTCAGTCCTTTGAATTTTCTTGAGTTGGGTAGACCCTTTCAGCCATGTTCTATGTTGACATAAAAATATCAATACTCTGATTAATAAGGTATGTGTTCTATATGTGGTCAAATACTGGTTATGGCCAATCCTGTTTCTGTTACCATATGAACAGATTCAATGAGTGGAATGATTCATACCCTCTTTTCAAGCACCAGACCTCACTAAAAACTCATTTTCAAATAATGGCATCTGCTGCTTTAGACAGTGATACATGCTTTATTTCATATGTAAAATCCAGGTGCTTTATAAGGAGAAATGTTGAAGAAATATATCATTTGACTTACAGGGTCATTATGTGTAGTTGATACTGGTTTTCTGTTCAACCCATTTATGGTAATACTGCAGGTTTTTCTTTGTGATACATCACTGTCTCACTCCTCTGCCCAAAACTCTTCAGTAATTTTCCTTGGTATCTTCATGAAAAACTATAATGTGATACCCTGATGTTGAGGCCATCCATAGTCTGGTGCCTTCCAATTGCCCAGCCTCATCTTACTTTTTCCTTTTACCTGAGCATGTCACTGCAGCCGGATGGAGTCACCATATTTACAGCCTATTTGTAGTCCTTCTGTCTCTGTGTGCTTACTTGGATCCTCTCTGCTACCTAGTGTGAAATTGCTTTTTTACTCATTTGCAGAAATGTTTTCTATCTTTCATTGCTAGATTTTTTTTTTTTTTTTTTTTTTTTTTTTTTTTGCCTATGAAGCCATTGCTGGTACACATCACTAGAGGAGAGAAAGGAATTTATTTGGGGAGAGACACAACTAGTAGTTCAATATCCACTGTGTGGGAGCATTGTGATGCCATTTTACATAGATTATTTGAACATGCATTCTTTGACTTAAGAATTCATATTGCATTCTCTTATTTAGGAAAAACATCATTATTATCATCATGTCCAACTTCACTGACATTAGTAGTTTTAGATACTTGAAGAAATAAAGTGATTTTTGATGCTTGATAAAGGCAGGAACATGTATGAAAATAAATAACATATAATAACAGTAAAAACATTTAGTAAATACTAGTACAGAGAAGAAGAGCAGCTAAAATATACTCAGTAATATCTAGTACCTGGAAGAGAACTTCACACAGTGAACATTTGTTTCATGATGAACATAATTGCCTCATATTGTTATTATATGACAATATGTCTTAGCTGCTTTCCTTTGCCCTTGAGGTAGGAGGAAAAAAATAGGAAAAGGATCTTTTTATAGAAAATAAAGTATTTGATACTTAATTTGTAACTACTCCTACTGAAATTAGACATTTTTATTTATTTTTAATAGCTTGATTATAGCTTATATTTAGCTTATTTAGTCTTATGTCTAACTACAAGTTATTTACAATGACATAAAATCTTAAAGGACATATGAAACATGAATGAGTTAGACTAAAGATTACCATGATTTACAGTGAATTGTTGTAAGATCGGTATATCAGTACTAATCCAGCATGCACCAATTAACTAATGGAATTTTTTTTGAATTTGCAAAACACTCTGAGAAGTGAAAATTTTCCTTGTCCACAGCTGTTTTAAGCTCAGTTTCTTAATATTAAAGACTACTTTTCAATAAATAAATAAATTGGTTGTAATCTAAAACATTTTTTTATTTTATTTAAATAGTTACTTGCCCTGTTATTCTTGGTACTTATTCATTTTATCAGAGAAGTGATTTTCTCGATATTGCAACTATTTTTCAATAGATACTACAATATTTTAAAACACTATGTCATTACAATATGTTGTAATGTGATGATTAATATACCAAAATTGGATCTGGTAACTTACCAAGAGGGTATCTTTTGAAATTGCATCTAGAAAGAAATGATTCAGAAAAAAAGAATGGAGAAAAAAAACGAACCTCACAATATCAGCACTACTATGCTTTTCGTGGATTCATTTCTCTTGGGATAGTAAGAATTGCAGTATCTCTGCATTTTACACTTTGCTGGTGTTTGGAGGAAAGACTTCATATTTGAACATGGGCTAAACCAGCTTTTCATTCTGAATCTATAGTAACCAGAGGTAGAACAAGTTCTATCTTCACTGTGACTAAAATAAAACATTAGTACCTGAAGTGCCTGCCTGGGTCATGTGACTTACTACAGCACCTGAAATAGTGGTGGTCTGGGCTATAAATGCTTTCTGAAATCACTCATGCTTTTTTCTCTTATAGGTGTTGAAATGGGTAGAAGAAGCAGTGCAGGCCTCCAAAGTGCACCTCTTATCCACAGATCATTTGGAACAGTCTGTAAATACTTGGAAAATTCCCTTTGATCCCAGCCTCAAAGAGGTCACTGTGTCTCTGAGTGGTCCTTCTCCCATGATTGAGATTCGCAATCCTTTAGGTAAGATAAATCCAACACGATGTAATAAAGTACAAAACTCATGGGGCTGGGGTAAAATACTTTTGCACAGTTATTCATGTCACGCTAAAGCCAGCTTCAGGAATATATTCAATAAATTCAGAAGTGACTATAGAAAATGCTTTTAAAAACCAAAACATTTTTTTGGTCTTAAGCATGGTTGAATTAACATGAGATTCAAAGAACTAAAACTTCCCATGTTTAAACAGATAAAATTCAGTAAATTGATCGTAGTTAAATTATTAAAAAGAAACATTTAAATTGAACCTGATATATTTTTTTAGTCTATACGTAACATGTTTCACAGAAACTTATTCTGTAAAATTGAACATTTTTTGTAATTTTAAAATGAATCGCACTAAAACATTTCTAAAACAATTATCTGATTTTTCACTATCATTTTTGTGGTGACATTTGATATTAACAACTATCTTCTATAAAATCAAAATTATGTTCTCAATGAGGAATGTTATAATGTACTGCTTCCTCAATTATATTTTAAAATTACATGATTTTCCTGAATCCTTTGCTAGTGGATAAATTATTTCTSACATTGAAAAATAATCTAATAATAAAAAAATCTAAATTTTTAACATTTGCATTTAGAAATATTTTTGTTACCTATTGATATCTGCAGAATAGTTGTATTTACACAGTGCCTTTGTTATATGTTGCATATTTTTTCTCTTTATGAATATTAACTGAAAGGAAAAGAGCTAACTAGCTTTCTTTGTTTGAATCTGAGAAGAAAATAATTTCCTAAAAGAAAACAACGTATGAAATTGTCCTTAGAGGCCACATCCACATCAGCAAGCACTGAAATTTATAAAACAAGCAAAACCTCTTTTTCAAAACTTCTATAGGTTTGGCCTTATTAGTGGGTTTGTCTCTTGGGGTCACATTCCACTGTAATGGTAACCATACTGCCCAGGAACGACATGTGTTTTTCATGACATGGATACTTAAAAGTACCTGAAACCATTGCATTTTGTTTCAACTACTTTTAAAAGTCATTAGGCATACAATGATTGCAAAACTTTCAATTCAAACATAGGGTGTTTGCAATCTATTTGTTTATGTTTTTTAAAAGTAGTTGGTAGGAAGGCGGGGAGGGAAAAGCTAAACTACGGCTTGTTTCCATATTTGCTTTTTTTTTTTTTTCTTCCTTAAGTTCCAACTATTAGATACTTTTAGCTAAATCTCAGGTTGGCAGGATGGTCTCATTCCACTGCTTATGATACTGCTTCTTTTAATTATTTTTATGACACATAAAGCCTTCTCCCGTGCTTCAAGGAAAACTAGTTGAAGTTTTGAACATAGTGCAAAGATATGCCCAGAGCTCTCATGTCACCAATACCTTGGTTGATCTCTGAAAAGACATTTATTCTGGTTCGCTGAGTTTGCCATGTACTTAATCTCAATGTCTCCAGTGACTGCACATAACTTGCTAATTGTTGTTTATCTAGGCTGGCTTTGGAAGTGATCACTTTTGTCAGTTGTTATTCTTACTTTGCCATCAAATTAACATTACAGATGGGAACCTATTACTTCAGTCCCAGTATCCAAGTATATTTTAGACAAAAATAAAATAATATTTTAAGCTGTGAGCACGAATGCCTGCCCCAACGTAGAAAAGAAAAGCCCTTTGGGTTAGTTTGCAACACATTAGTTAAAAAACTGTCTTTGCGTTATTTGAAATCGGATCATACTCTTAGTTTATGTAATGTTAAATTAGCTAATATTCTTAACTGGGAGAAAGATTATGCTTGTTACCTTTCTGTTTGTTTTTCAGGGAAGCTGATCAAAAAGGGATTTGGCCTGAATGAGCTATTAAATATCCATAACTCTGCCAAAGTGGTGAATGTGAAGGAGCCAGAGGCTGGGATGTGGACAGTGAAGGTACTGTTACTTCACAAAGGCTGTTTATTATTTTACTTTATGTTGGCCTGTTGTAGAAAGTATGTACAACAGTTTACTTATGTCTAATCTTGCCATCATGGAGCGTGCTGCTAATAAAAACCAGTCCACCCAGTGCATGCCTCAGAGTGTCTTGATCATGAATTTGGTAATGTTACGTGTTGATGACCGTGAACATCATTGATGCTTCAGGATAATGCTTAACATTTTTGAATCGTTTTCCTATTGTCAAGCCTGTGGGTTGATTTTTATTGTCATCCCTTGCTCCAAAATCATCAGACATAGAGCCAATAGAGTAATTGGCTCTGGTGCGGAGGTACCTGGGTGTGAATCTCAATCTTAACAACTGTACTGTTCAAGAACAGAACTCTGTGCCTTGCTTTCCTCCTTTGTCTTTAAGGGTGGCAGTCCTTGACTTCTTAAATTTGGTCTGAAAATTAAGGTAAGAGGAGACGGTTAAATACTCCATGTAGCTTCTGTTACAGTGCAAGCTCTCAAGCTCTCAAAGAACCCTTGTTTGGTTGGTTGAATCTACATGCGTTGTTTTCTTTAACACAGCAATGATAATTGAAAACTGGAATTTCATCTTAAGAGTTTTATCACCATTTTAGTAAAGCACCCAATTTTGGCACATAGAGGAAAGATGGAAAGAACATGCACTTGAAATTTAGGCTTCAGTAAATCAGAAATCTAACTTGGCTGCAGGTTCCTGGGTGACCCACAGTGGTCGATGCTGAGGGACTTGCTGTATTTCTCAGACTGCCTAATGTGCCCTGGCCTCCTTCCAACTCCAGCATTTTCATTTCTGTATCTGGGAGGCTTTTTTTTCCTTCCTCCCCAGAACAGAAGGCTGTTCTGCTGAGGAATTAACACTTCTCAGGAGCAGCCTTCACCCCCAGAAGGAATGAGGTCCAGGTGTTCATCCTGAGAGCAGCCGTAAAAGCACACCCTTGACTGGCCTCTGCTTTTCCCCTTCTTCCTATCAGCAGGCTTTGCATGTCCCAAGTCAACAACTTGCTCTAGAATCCTTCTGGGAGAACCTGAAGGAAGATACCTGAGCATGATTTCCTCCTTCATTGGCTCAGCTTTCCTACACAAGAAACGGGATTTCTGGGACTGTGATTCAGATGATAGAACTGCTGCAAAAGTGTGTGACTGTGATAAGTCTTAGAAATTCAGGGAGCTGATTTGGCATGCCAGTCAGTTTTTGGTCTTTGAAGAGAATATCTACATTGATTTCCCCAGTTTAAAGAAGGACCGTGTACATAGGAATACCATTCAAGGCCTAGGAGGTAATTTACTTACTATCAGAAATCAAACCCTGTAGGGAAAATGGAGTATGGGTTATTGAAGGTGGATTATATAGAATAAGAAGATATATGAAAGTCAATGTGAAAGCAAATCTTGAAATTTCTTAATGAATGGACCAGAAAAGGTCCTATATGCCTGTTTGAATCACCCAGTTCCTTGCGTAGTAGGTGCCCAGTGTTTATTGGAGGTATGTGATTGGCAATGGTGAAGAGTTATGTTGCTGTAATATTTTAAATAAATAGGGCTAAATTTGATGTTGCAATTATTTGGATCTAATTGCCTGAAATATGACTAGTGTTGAGTCTGATTTTCTGTGACCACAGTAGGAAGGAATATAAGTGTTGAGTCTCTTTATCCCCCAAATTCTTTCAGCATGACCTAAGCCAGTCCTGTCCTGAGCTAGCAGTTCACTGAGTTAGTCTGTTCCTGCTCTCTGAATAGCAACATGAAGTTATCCATTACTGACTGTGAAATACATGCAAGTGATGCCATTCTTCCACGTTACTGGTAATTTGTTGTGAGATATTTGAACCTGTATTCTGGTGATGTGGATTGCTACCAGCAGTGTTTCCTCTAGTAAAATCCGTGCCTGGAACAGGGGTGTTGTATGGCTCTAACCTTGTGCCTAAAACGCCCATTCATTCGGCCATCCATTTAATAAATACTTCCTGAGTGTCTGCCTTTGGCTGTGTTCCATGTGACTGAATTAATGGGCAGTAAGCACATTTAATTGATAATTAGAGTGTAGAGGTACTGGGATTAGCCTGTGAGTGAGGAGGAGAGGGATGATAAGATGGTGAAGTGATGAAAACTGTTCAAACAAGTTTCTAAGCTCAGTCTCCTATAATTAAGAGAATAATAAAAAGACACAATATCTATTATCATCTCATCTTACATTTATATATAGTCCCCACCAAAGAACCTCCACTTCTTGTTTTCACTATTTCTAGTGTATAGTTGCCAACAACCAACCAAAGGATATGTTGCAACTTAAAAATAAACTTACATTGCTGTCATGTGAAAGACCCGAAGAATGTATCAGGATGATGCAAAGAAAAGTGAGCTGAATGTACTGACATAAATATTGCTGCTGACATGGGACCTCCCTTTGGGATGACTAATGAATGATAAATGTTTTACCTTCGCTCTTTCTCGAGAAGAGAAATGTGTGAGATTAGATAATGTATCCTTGGAGCTATCTCCCGTGCACCCTGCTATCTGGGAAATGTCTGCTCTGTCAGAAGAATTATTAATGACTTTTTGAATGTTTCAAATAACAGTTTATATCCCAAGTACAGAGAGCAGTCTATATATTATTTAATGTTTGCAGGATACTGAAATGCCACTCCGCTGAGCTTCAGCCAGTCTTTCTGGTCTTCTTCCATCACTTGACTTTATACACCAGCCAAATACAGTTATGTCCTAGCCCCCATTCTCTACTTTTTCTTCCCCATGTTTCCTGCCCCCGCCCCAATCTATTCCTTCTCCCTAGAATGCCCTTCCTTTCAGTCTGACTTGTAACTGACTCCCAAGGTTCGGATCAGATGGCAACACTTTTACTGAGTCTTTTCAGATTTTTTTCCCTCTAAAATACTCTTTTCTCCTGTAGCATTCAGTGCAATTTTTCTGGTGTGTCCCTTTTGAATTAATTGATCCCATGTTTTATTTTTATTTCTGTACAGATTTTCTCTCCATCGTTGACAATAGAGTATTTTCTGCCACTAGTAAATTACAGTGTCTGAGAAAAACATTGTGAATAAAACATCAGCCYGTGGGTCCTGAGGGTGTCTAGGGAAGCAGGCAGGAGAGTGGCCTCATTAGCCCACAGCTTAGGTACTGGCATAGAGCACCTGGATGTGGTCTGTGATTTAAGATGCTACAAGTGGCCATTGCTTTTCATTTGTGGCCTTCATAGCAAGTCCTTGACACATGAGGGCACTTTTACTAAACAGACACGATGAGTCCACTCATTTCTATAATCATATAAATAACTCAAATGTTCTCACTTGCCTTTGATGTAGGTAAAGCATGCTGTAAAAGAGTAACTGAACAGAATATAAAGTTTTATTAAAAACAGAAGAGAAGTTGTTTATGCCACTAGGTTTCCATTTGTAGAGAAGCTGCAAGTCCTGGATCTTATTTCTGAGAAGCAATATGAATTTTCCATTCAGGCAGCTCTATCTATATATAGAGTGTTCAAATATAGCCACAGAAACCCTTGAGCCCAATTTTGTCCTCTGCTCCTTAAGGGAAACTCCCTGCAAAGATATTAAATAATGGGTTTAGATAATATGAAATGTTTCTATTCATCTGGGATTATCAGTGTGATCATGTAGTTTAACACATCCCCTGGGGTATGTTTCCATTAAGTAAATTTGGACAAATTGTGCTTAGATAATCTCCCAGATAGAAAAGGAGTGTACCAACCTTGTGATTATATTGAGATTCTGAGACTAGTAGAAATATTTTGGTTTAGATGTTTATGTTGGTTGTCAGAGCATACTAATGAATTTTTGGCAGGGTGAGAATATTTTAGAAATCGGACTCAATTGGCAGAGCTTGTCTAGGAATCATTATTAAATCAGCCTCCAGTTTACAAAGGACCACACAGAAAGGTTCTAAGACTGTCCTCCAGTTATTCTCACCTGGTGAGAATAATGTAGACTATATCAGATGTGCTATTTAAATACTGTATAGTGGATTTTTCCAAGAAAATGTCCCAGTTATTTTGACCTGCCAGTGTCAGACTGTTAACTAAATATGTCTTCCATTTTAAAATATATTTGCACACTTAGCGATAGATACCCTTGAGTATATATGAACATATGGATGTGTATATATGAATGTGCATATACATATATTTAATAGAAATTATCCTGAAATTTGGGTATATTTCTTTTTTTGATAATATTTTCCTTCTATGTCCAGTAAAATGATGATATATAAATCTAGCTAGCATTATTCTATCTTTGTGACTGGCACAGTGCCTGACTCACAATAAGTTTTCAAATAATTGATTGAAACCATCAAGTTTTTTAATTAAAAAATAATATCACTTGAGAGCAAATGCTTCAAATATGGCTGGATGTCTATTTGATGTTCAAGATCCATTATTTAATATCTTTTTGGCCTAGAAATAKTACTTGACCACCCGAAGTCTGAGGAAAATCATAGCTACTTCATGTTGTCGACCTCCATGAGATATTAGTTAAAAGTGTTGTAACAGTTTCTAACACATTGGCAGATTAATTAGTAAAATTAGTTATTCTCTCAAATATAGGTAAATTATAYATTTATTTTTTATTGTAATGTAGATATACATGAAATGGGTGGCACTTGTTTTTATTTTTACCTTCAGGAACATTTGCTATTTTAGAAAACATTACAACACTTTAGGAAAGAGAAATAAAAACTACCAACCAATTTCTAATTCAGTTTACAACAGGGCAGATTTCCTATTTAGCGAAGGGAGGAATTCTCAATGGATTAGCACAGGAAGGTTCAGACCTCATTATTGTTCCATGTCATGGAAGGTTGACAGGATGTTCTGCTTCACAGTCACTCAGAACTCAAATTGATGGGGAGGCTCCATTATAATTCAAAGCATGCAGCTTCTTCAGTTCCTTTAAAAGGGAAAAGGACAAGAGCATACACTAAATAAATTAGAAGAGATTTCAGTCACTTCTAGCTCATCCCAGAAGTGACACACTTTACCTGCTACATCACCAATGGACCAGAACTCTCATTGCAGCCTGGCATGCTAGGGCTGTCTCACAGAAGCTTGTGGGGAGTTGGAATGCCCTTTTCTTCCCATCTGTATCCAGGGGCATCATATTGGGAGCTAAGAATCAGCCATGATGGAAGTATTTACTCCATACAAATTAGAACATTTAAAAAATTGAGGTCTACTAATTTTTAGAGAGGAGTTTACCAATAACCCACTAACTGAACTTTCCTAACTGAAATGCAGAATAGCAGCCAGGGGCAGTGGCAAATATCTGTGATCCCAGCTACTAGAAAGACTAAGAAACAGAGGATCACAAGTTCAAGTCCAGCCTGAGCAACTTAGTGATACCCTGTCTCAATACAAAATTTTAAAGAGGGCTGGGAATGTATCTCGGTGATAGTGTGTGCCTAGTGTGCATGAGATCCTGGGCTCAATTCCCAGTACGGAAAAGAAGAATATAGAATAACAGTCACGCAGTTGCAGAGTATTTTTTATTGTCTTYCATGCCTAGGATTTCAAGTCTGCCATGAGATTATGTTATCCTAAAACACTCTGCATAGACTTAGGGACTATAGAAAGAACATTGAGCTTGGAATTATTGCCATTTAACTTGCTGTCTAAACTAAGGTAAGTATAATTACATTTACTTTGAGACTGTTTTTTTATGGTGCTATATATAAAATCATCTCTGGATGTCAGATTTAGCAAGGTTATATAAGATGGAACATGCTTAGCATAATGCATCTAGAATAATTTAGTGAGTTCTTGGTGACTCTGACATTAGCTAGTCTCGGGGGAATCTAAGGAAGAGCATTAACACCAGGCTGTTTTCATCATTTATAAGACCCTCAATTATTATGTGCCTGTTGAATCATATTCTCTAGGTGAGGAAGGACATTGTTACTGCCCTGAAGGGGCTTTGAATATAGGCAGATAATTGATAAGCCCTCCTCCTTAAACCTGGGAGTTCCATCTGCAGTAGAGCTGGCCAGGAGACCTGAGCCAAGACCTCAGAGGAGCCACCCGGTTCTCCTGGAGCTCTCCATGGTGCTTGCTCCATGGTGCTTGAGCCTGTCGTGCGTCTTCATTCCTGGTCATCTCACTCCAATCAGAAAACTAGCCTCTGGCCCGTTCTCTTCCTTCTTTGACTATTTTGTAGGTCAACATGACCATCTATTTATGATTTCAAGATGCCAGTGGCGTCTAGCATCAACTCACCTCTGTCAAATCCAACTTTGCTTCACCTCTGGTTTATGCTACAGCAGCCTGTGAATTCCTGACTCAGATCCCTCCCCAGCTTCATGAACATGAGACTCCTCACTCAGGGCAGGAACGTACCCCAGTATAAACATCTTTAAGTTGTATGATTAAGTTGACTATTTAAAACACCTCTAGGAGTTTCTAGCCCATGGAAACACTGTCCAGGATCTGGTATGTAGGAAATTTTCTCTTACACTCTGAGCCAGCATGCTGCTCCCAAATTTCCTTGTGAGCTACGGAGAAACGAGGTTAGGGTGGCTGCAACACAAGAGTGCTGCTCAAAGATAATCTGTTGACCAGCTTTCTGGAATAATACTCTAATTTTAATGTAACAGATTGATGCTACCTGATATAAAAGTATCAGGTAGAAAATATTAAAAGTAATTTTGGCTTTCTAGTTTTATCACATATACGGAAAATAATATTAGGAAGGCTCAAATAATTTGGAAGACAAGGGAAGGAGAAGAAATACAGCTTGGTTGCCTCTGCTTAACTCAGTTACAGAACTAGTTGGATTTTCTTTGCCCCAGAACACCTCCATATCATCTAGTACCTGCTCCACTGCTATTTTTAACAAATTATTTAACCTCTTTGATTTGTGAAATGAGAATACTAATGGTACTCTCAGAGGAGCTTTTATAAGAAATTAGAGTGGTAGTTTATGTAAAGGGCTTAGTCTCCAAGTACATTTTATCAATGTTAATTTCTTTCTCCTTCACCTATCATTTTGCCATCATTTTACATTAAGCTTTATTGTCCCATTTCATTAATATATTTAAAAGGGAGCTCAGATAAGAAATACTCTTAAAATAAAAGCTTTAGCAGCAAACTTTTGGTACTTTCTCACAAAGAAATTTAATGGGATGTTTAATATTCCTAAAATATTGTCCACGTATTATTTTAATTCTTTTAAGAGAATTGTTTTAAGAATGACAGATGCATAGTTTATATTAGAGCCATTTTTATCTAAATTGTTTTAAATTTTTTCTATTTTTAAACAATATTTTTTTTTATTCCCATCATCCTGGTTAGTCTTGAGTTGCCTATACTTGTGTATAAAAGTGGACTAACTTGGAGGTTTCTTTACTCACAAGCCATTTTAAATTCTATAAGGCATTATCTTTACAGTATAATAAAGAAATATGAAAGTAAGATGTCTTGTTAATTTATTAACTTTTATATATTAACATTGCTCAGAGAATAATAAACTTACCTTCTTATTTCTACATACTTCATTAATTAGTGTAATATTTTAGGGATCAAAGTTATTTTACTTTGTGATAATTTTGGGTAATTGTAAGGGCCTCCCTATTCATCAAATTTGCTTTATCTTAATGTCAGATTTAGCAACAGAAGATAACATACTTTCAAACACTTGCATAATCTGTAATTTTCTCACTGAGGTATCGAGCACCACTGTTTAAATCGGCCTTTGTCAGTTGATTTATGCACAGAGCACTTGGCAGATGATGAGTACTTGGTGGCAGTCATTTGGCAAATAGTGTGTCATATTTCTCCTTGGTAACCTCAATGGCTGTTTTATCCTAAGGGGCTTTCTGAGCAGCAGGGCAGTTGACAGTGATCTATGATGTCGGTGAATCAATCTCCATCACTTTACTGTAATAGCATTTTGAATGACTTACAAGAAATCAGTACTTGTAGTGTCTTTAGTAAAACTGTTTTATTGGAAGAAGTGAAATTTGACTTTGCAAGGTTTTATACAACTATATTCACAGTCTGTTATTTCAAATTTGGTCATGGTCTATAACTTCTTTTTTCATTTATTATGTGAAATTCATGGAACATTGTCCTTTAGAAATAATGAAATAAATGATGAGATAGAGACCCCTATATTGACACATGCGATCTTTTGTAATCTTTATGAAAATGAATCATAGTATCTAGCAACATTATTTGTACTAAAAATATAGCAACACGTATGCTAAGAATATTGAACAATGTTTTCATAATGTTGTGTTATTTTTCTTTACCTTTGAGTTTTTGTAGATTGTGCTCAATAAGGAAGAAATATGGTCGCAACAGGGACAGATATCCCTCATCTTTCTTCTCATTATTAAGTAAAAGGAGCCACACTGTGTAGTTTGCAAGCCTTGGCAGCGGTCCTCTTTAATGTTGATGTGGTTTCTTCTGGCTGTTCCTATTGCATTCTCTTATCGCTGGATACCTGACTATGTGTCTTCTCCGAGTTGAGATTGGGATCCACATTTGGGGCCCTGGTGTTATCTTGTGTATCCCATCCTCCCACACTCACCTCTACTTAAATGCTGGTATCATGCAGTCATTCCATTGTGAGACAAAACATTGGCAGTGAATGTAATAAAATAACGGCAAACTTCCATTGCTAAGTTAGAGATGGTTTTTGAAATACAGATTCTTAGACTCTACTGAAACAGTGATTCTGATTTAGTAAATCTAGGCTGGAGCACAGAAGTCTGCATTTTTTTTTTTAACAAACAACTCAAGTGATTTGGTGTAGGTATAGCTGCAGGAGAGCCTTAGATCCTTCTTTGAGAGAAACTGAAATAGCAGCTAATGCTGATTTATTACAGTAGACAATGTGGTGAAGAGTTTGGAACCTGACCTTTGGATTAAAACCTCCTCTCTGCCATTTCCAAACCTGCAAACTTGGAGAAACTGTTTTAACAATGTAGCATCTCAATTTTCTTATCTGAACACTGAGGAAACTAATGATGTCTTCTTTATGAAGTTGTAATGAGCATAAAATAAGCCAATGTATTTAAGAGCCAAGGCATTGCAGAAGTGCCTAATAAACACTGGTATCATTTTATCCTTTGCGCTTATTCCATAATTGTTTATTATTTATGTATATAGGAGCCACTTGAGTGTATAGTTATGATTCCTTATTTAGTACAGCTCTTATCCCCTTTATGACAGTTTAGCATAACAGGCTAGTCTATATTTCTTCTGTGTATGTTCATCACTGAATTTGCTGTATTATCGTATTCCGACCTCTCCAGCCATTTCCCTCAGGAGTCACAAGCTCTGTGGGGTGAGGATTGTGTTCAACTCACATTTTCATTTCAAACCCCAAGTATCTTTGCTAGAATGCTGCTACGCTGAGGATGCCATTGTGTGAAATCTGGAAAACGCTCAGCTCCTGTTCTTGTCCTGATGCTAATGTTCCAGTGGCAAAGAAAAAGGAGCTATTTTCCAGAATTGAACCTGGATGGTATTTGTAAGAGGGAATTGACTCATTTTTTTCCCTTTCAATATTTTCTGAGCATCTACCATGTGAAGAACAGAGAACAAAAATGAAGGTCCATCCCTTTATGGAGGTTTTACAGATTTACTTCAAATTTATTAGTGACTGAAATCTTATATCTTCTACCCTTAGACGTGCAATATATGACTGAAKTGTATTTTACAGCAGATCTCTTAGAGAGTGTGCTGTAAAACTTGCATTTCAAAGTAGACTTACAGCTAAGTGCAGAGACTCACTTATTAAACATGAGTGTTAATTAAACACTACAGTTTGTCATATGGGTTAGTACTTATTGTGATCGGCATCCTGGATCAACGGCTTACTAGATTCGTCATTAAACATTTTCAGACCTCTAGCAGTGGAAGACACTCTGTTCGAATCACTGGGCTCAGTACTATTGATTTCCGAGCTGGCTTTTCTCGAAAGCCCACCCTGGACTTCAAGAAAACAGTCAGCAGACCTGTGCAAGGTTTGTATGTGCATACTACTTAAACTGGTATAAGTGAAAAGATCTCTCAATTGTCTGTGTGTTTATAATTTTTTTTTTAGTATTTAACAAAATTAAGAGGCATAGCATCTTTACTTAAAACATAATTGCTCTTTTGGTTTAGTTTCTGTTTTTCAAGGCCCAAGATTAGTGATATCAGAATCACCCGAGAGCTTGTTAAAAATGAAGATTCCTGGGCCATACTCCAGACTCCTGAGTTAGAGCCACAGAAAGCAGAGCCTAGGAGTCTGCATTTTAGTGAGCAATTACTTATTAAGTTTAGAGAACTACTGATCTTGACCTTGAAACTTTTTTCTTACTAAAAATCTACAAATGATCTCATTGTCAAGATGAAATGCCTGAATATAGCTGAAAAATTAAAGACCCCATGTATCAGTGTGTGTTCCAAGATGAAAGCATCGCTGATTACCAAAGCTTATTTTTGCTCCTATTTTAATTCATACAGTAAGATTTATAATTATGTAGCTCCAACATACCATAATTCTTACAGTATTTTTTTCCAGTCACTGTTCATTTATTTTTATTGCTGCAGTTTCCATAAGGATATAAAATCATAAATCTTTAAAAATATTTATATAATCAAACATCATGTAACAAAATATTCATTTTTTTGCTGCCTATGTTTAAAATACTGTAAAGATGACCACATTGTATTTTCTAAGTTTCTGTGGTTAACTTCTATGTAGAAAAGTTTCTATGCTGCTCTGCACTTTGTAGGGAAAACTGTATACTCCTCCTTATGGTACTTACAAGTTATTTTAATGCAAATATTTATTTACTATAATAGCCTAAGTTGTGTGCAACTTGTAGATGCTGACAGAGTCTTCCTTTTCTAGGGATTCCTACCTATGTGCTGCTGAATACCTCGGGCATTTCAAGTCCAGCTAGAGTAGATCATCTGGAACTTCTGAGTATCTCAGGAGGGTCCCTGAAGGTTATTCCTGTGAAATATTACCCAGATCGAAAACCTTATGGCATATGGAATATTTCTGACTTCATACCACCAAATGAAGCTTTCTTTCTCAAAGTAACGGGCTATGATAAGGACAATTATCTCTTCCAGAGAGTGTCCAGTGTTTCCTTTTCTAGTATTGTCCCAGGTGAGTCCAACCTTGGGATATAGACAGCTGAAGGGGGGTGATGTGGTAAAGAATAGATTAGAAAATAAAAAAAGAATATCTCATATTACTACGATGGCATTTAACTGGTGGGCATTTATACTTAAATAACTTGGTTTTTCTTAACCGCTAAGTAACACTTTCAGTGTTTCATGTTAAGTCTCACTGAATGCAGAACTGAAAATTTGATTAATCAATTTAAGAGCCAGAAATGGGAAGTTCTAGTACTCTCTAAAAAAAAGCTTGATAAAAGTTTCTACAGTGGCTGAATGTTTATATTCAATTATCAGAAACATTTTGCTCTGTGCACAAAAAATGCACTGTGAGCAACTGGTGACCATTCTGCCTTTACTTGGTTAGTTAATTCCTAGTTAATTATCTCTTTCTATGAAGAGGAGATGAGATCACAGATTTGGGATTATGTGGAAGCAGCAGGTAACATGATTCCATGGATACCATTAGTAAGGTGGCCATGGCAATATCTAGAAACAAGTCAACTTTGAACAAATAAACATAATAAAAGTTATTTTGAGTGGTTTGGATTAATTGGAATGCAGATGATTCACTGGAATGATTTGTGAAGTTTGTGAATAGTTTCGCAGGGAGTACTTAGTATTGTTGTGATTTTCTTTTCCTTTTTTTTTTTTGTTTTGTTTTCTAGATGCTCCTAAAGTTACAATGCCCAAGAAAACCCCAGGATACTACCTGCAGCCGGGCCAAATTCCCTGCTCTGTTGAAAGTTTTCTGCCTTTTACCTTGAGCTTTGTCAGAAATGGAATTACGCTCGGAGTAGACCAGTATTTAAAGTGTGTAATGTTTCGATCACTAATCAATATTAGCGTTAAACATGTAAATGCAAATAGATTCTCATATTAAGGTACTCTTTCCCTAGCAATTTTCACTTACTTGCTTCATGGTGTTGGAATATCACAGTGAAAAAAAAAAAAAAAACAGACTTGGGTGTGCCTTGGTGGAGCTTATGGTAATGGAGGGAGACAGTAAGCAGATGATAAAGGTAATATGAGAACACAGTCAATGCTAGAGCACATCCAAGGGTTTATTCAGGTTTTATAGAATTTGAATTTTATGTAATTTAAGTTCCATGTTAAGACAAAGAACAGAGAATGATGAACACAATGGCACTTATCAGACCTTGGAAGGGGACCTTATGAAGAGAGGCCCTGAAGCTTTTCCTTTATTGGCTTTGGGGTAAAAATGTCTCTGATTCTGATTTGAAGTGTCACAATAAGGGGATCTGATGGGTGTTATGACAAGAAAGTAGAACAGGGTAATTAGGAAGGGTCATATGCAGGAGGCTGGGAGCCATGTGGTTTGGGCCAGGTTGAAATTTTAAGACTGAGGGTAAGGGGCATTTGAGCAAAGACCTGAAGATGTGAGCAAGAAGCTCATTCATTAACCACAGAAGAGAGGGCATGCCCCAGGAAGAGCAGGTACATACATATAAAGGCCAAGTGGACGAAACCTGTAGGAAAGAAAGCAATGAGCCCAGTGTAGCTAGAGCCCTGTGGGCCAGGAGAAGGGGAGAAGATAATGTCAGGGAGGTTTGATGTGTGATGGAGGTGGGATGACATGGTGGACCAGAAGCACATGTGACTGCTGCATAGAACAATCGACAGGAGTGGCTTCAGAAGACACCAACTTTTCCTTGTGAAACTGAGTGACTTTTAAAAACAAATAAAAGTACTCTAATGATAAATAGACCTTGAAAAGTGGAGGGAAATGATTTCTGGAAAGCTTTGCCTTTTAACTCAACCATGAAATAAACTACATTTTGGGGGAAAACTCTAGGAATTCTTTTACCAACCTTTTACAATGTAAATTCAATATTAGCAACTTCCATACACGGTTACATATTTGATAGTCTTAGCTTCTGCAGTCTCTTTATTGGGATTCATTTTTAAGCAAAAATGTACAGCAGGAATGTTCATTGTAACTAGAAAGTTTTCCATCCATTGAAGATTGATCTCCTGCTCTGTACATAGTATATCTTGATGGTTTACTTAGCTGAATATTTTATAAACAGCAACATAACTGACCAGGGTATCAAATGGTGAAGCTACATATCTGGGCGATGAAATAAAATAATTCTGCTTCCTGTTTAAATAGCAACATTTTTCAAAGACACTTGAGATTCTTTATAAACATTAATTCATTAATTCTACACAATTCTTGGGAGGTAAGCCACAAGAATTCTTTTTCTCATTTTTCCAGTTCCATGGCCCAGAAATATGACATGCCTTGCTGACATGTATTAAGCTCTTTGGAAGTGAGGGCCAGAGACAAAATTAGGCATGAGTGATGATAGAATGATACTCTAATCCTGATTCCCTCACATGCCTCTGCCCCAGATTTCCTAATTGTATGAAATATGCAACTTAATCTTTGTTTATGTCAGTCACTTTGGTCTTCAGGGGACTTAAGAGAGAATCAGTTTGCATTAGTAGCAGGATATATTTCTATTGGGCAAGTTATTTTCCCTATTCCAAAGTTCATCCCTTCAAACCCTTGTAAAAAAAAAAATATGGTTATATATTGATTATATCAGCTGAGAAAGCTACATAAAAAACAGTTATTTTCATGTACTATTTCATAAACAAGGGGACCATGCCAAGTGCAGCTGTGACTGTCTTCAAGCAATTAGCCAACTAGGTTATGAGACTTTGAACAAATGATTTGTCATTCAAATTTTCTATTTTTAAAACGAGGGATTTAGTGCTAGAAAAATTGTCACTTTCTGTTTCCAATATTTCCATGAGTCTAAGTTTTGGATGAATTCTAGCATATGCTCAGCTCTAAAGCAGGCACTGTATAGAACACCAAAGGCATATGAATTCCAAATTTCTACCTTTCTGGAACTTACAGTACTTCCTAGATAATGACATTTACAAACTTGTGCCTAGCATACTGATGCCAAGCATTCCAGTTACAGCTTAAGTTATCAGTGAAGTATGGAGTTAAGTACTATTCCATTTTCTTCTGAATGTAATAATAAGGCCCCCTGGCACATAGTGCATAGAGCTTTGAAAGGAAGCATTAGCAGAAATGGATATTCTCAGCTACTATAATGTATGAAACAATGACCATGCTTGGCTTTTCGAGTTACTGTTAATAGGAATCTATTCCTTAACTTTCTCTTACAAGCTCTAGGTCTGTGCTGACAGGAATAAAGAGCTCACTGAGTTCTTGGTGGTGGTTTGATGATGAGCATGGTAGGTTTGGGCAGGGAGCAATTTGGAGATACCTTTCTGAGGTATGATTTCTTATGCCACTTTCATACTTAGTGGAAGGTATCAGTCTCCAAGATGGACTTTTTTTTCCTTGAATTTCTATAAAGGCTATGAATAACCACAGATGATAAAGGAGAAGAATTATGAAAATATTATATTTCAACTGTATTTTTTAACATAGGATAATGCTTATTTATGTAGATTATTGGACTTTTTTAAAACAAGAATTAAATATCTATTACTAAGACATTTTCCCCAAATCATTTAAACAGTGTCAAAGGACAAAGAATGCATAGTTACGAAATGAATGAATATACAAAGTAGAGATTTTTCTAAAATCTAAATGATAGTTTGATTATAAAACTGATAATTTTTTCCTCCTTTCTTTGTACGTGTAGATTGAACCAGATTTGGTACATAGCCCCATGTGGAGTTTATACATAAGAAAATTAATTTATTTTCTTGGAATCAAAAAGTTGATTCCTGCCTTCATGCTTATAAATTAACCTGATTTAAGTGCTTTCTCTAAGATCCCTGAACAAAAACTGGGAAAGACATGGGGAAGAAAAGAGATTTAGCAAGTGTTTGGTAGCATTATTCTCTTATGCTTTGACATAGTTAGAAAATGTTCCCCTAAAGAAATCTGCAGTCTTCATAGATTACTGACTTTGCTGTGTCTTTGTGTTCAATGTAGAAAAGCTTAACTTTCTAGTTGAGCTATAAAAAGGTATGTAATTATAAGTTAAAAATGACTCTCTGGTTTTATCCATTAACTTTCTTTGCATTGTTCTTTCGAATGAACTCTTCGAAAAGAAATAGTCAGATCATTGTTTTCAACTTGGTCTTGTGTTCTATAGAAACTAATGTTTTGTGTTTGTTTTTTTTTTTTCCATTTTCTTACCCCCAGAGAATCTGCCAGTGTCAACTGGGATATTGAAAAGGTCACTCTGTCTGACGAAGGCTCCTATGAGTGCATTGCTGTCAGCAGTGCAGGGACAGGACGGGCACAAACATATTTTGATGTATCAGGTAGTTGTCACTAAGTTCTTTGTGATCACCTGCATATTAATTAGTGCACCTATGGAAATGGGATGTCAACACCCACTTTACATGTATACAGTTGCCTTTATGATTTAATAATCATCTATCTGTTCACCGATTGTGAACTCAAATCTTGGCTACACTATGTACCAGTTGTGTGACTTTGTTTCATTATTGAGGACTCAAGGCCTGGGTTTCCCTAACCATAAACGAGGATAATAACAATATGCATTTCTATCCTATGGAAAAACTGTGAGGACTGAGTGCTGTATGCTGTATATGTAAAGCACTCAGAAAACAGTCTGACACCTAGTAGAACGTTATTGTTACTATCGGTATTGTTGTTGTGGTTGTCACCATTATTATTGTGGGAGTTTAATGAATATCTTTCACAATCACCCTATGGAATTTCCCTTGAGAAAATAAAGTTGAAGTAAAGGATCTATTCTAGTTACAAGGGTAAACTGCCCCTGCCCCCTTTTTCATAATGAGCAGAGTGCTTTTATGAATGGATTTTGATCTCTAAATTAAAAAACAATGAACATGATCTCATTCTAGCAACACCGGGGTCTCAGTTGGTACATTATTGTCATTAAGGGCAGAAATAATGCTTATATTTTATATTCAGAGAGCATATTTCATATGAATAGATGCTAGAAAAGCTTCATATTGTAAGGAAATATATTTTAAATAAAACATTTTGTCTTCTAATCTCCAGGATTCTTAGGAAATAAAAAAAGACTACCCTATATAATCAATAAACAAGATTAAGCCGCTAACATGGCATGTATTTACAATTTGTAGGAAACTTTGTTTTGATGGACTTATCTTTTACCTGCCTTATGGACTAGTATTGCTGTGTGTTTAGTCATAACTGAAGTATTGCTGCTGTTGAATTTGTAGCAAAGTCTATATTGCTTTTAGTGTTGGTGTGCATTTTCTTGAGACAATGTAGGACAAAGAAAGCTTTTCACTGATAGGAGGGACCATTAGGGACCTGGGATTTATGGTGCTTGTTATTAGTAARTTGAAGCTGAACTTTTGGAAACATAGGCATGTAAGTTAGGCAAGCAGTTCTTCTTGCAGTAAAGTTGTTTATATTCTCTTATTCTTAGAAAAATAAAGATTTGTCTTCTGAAACGAGTTAGCAAGTTGACATACATCACAAGCTATTCATTTTTTCATCTCCAGAAATTATGAAAAGCATTGGAATTGCGTCAACATTCCTCAGCTTCTGGGAAAGCACATACTCAAACACTTGAGTATTTTTCCCAGCGACATTAATTAAGAGAAGGACAACAAGGAAAGAGTTCGAGTTGACTTAGACATCTTGCATAAATAACCAGGAAGTACCAGCAAGCACTGGTGAACTGTTAGGAATTTGGCTCTGTGGCGCCAGTGACTTCTGTGTGTGTATTAACCTGTGCCAGCTAGGCGATGGCATAACTAGGAAATTGTACTGTGCCCAAGCTGATTTTCAGGAATTGTTTCCCACTCAGTTGTTTTAAAGCACGAGGCAGAGGCATGGGTGGGTAGTGGGGAAGCATTGATGGTCATGGCAGTGACTCTCAGCACAGAAGTAAGAAACAAGGGCCCCTTTGGAGTTGGAAGAGTGGACATTTCTCTCAGGGCTGGCTGGTGCCTACTACACCAATCTGCTTCTGAATCCCCCTGAGACTCAGAGGAGGCTCTAGCTCCGCCGCTTTGCTGAAGTCACTTATCAGCATATTGGAATCAGGAACTGACTCACAGGACAATCAGCTCTCATATTTCATAAAGGGTGTTAGGAAAGAAGGCATCATGGGATAGTGATAATCTGGTGTCACTGTGGACATTTATAATGTACAAAGTCAGATAGAGTCCAAGAACTATTTAAAGAAAAGCTAAAGTTCTGCTGATATGTTACCTTATTATTTTTTTCAGGATTCTGCTATAGTCAACATGTTTCAGGGCATGAGATTCATTTGAAATGTTGGTTACTGATTGTTTTACATGCAAAATGGTGTAGAAAGCACTATATTTCTCTTTCACTGAATACAAATACATAGGAACCAGTGAATAAAATGGTAAAAGCATACAGTTACTTTTTTTCAAAGGATATTGTTAATTCAGTTTAATACTATTACAAACATTAGTTTTCTGTACTGGTTTTTTTTTTTAAATTAACACAATAACATACACACGAGTACTAGCATTCTGGGCTTAAGCAAAAATTCTGAATAGAGGAAACTTACTAAAGGCATACTAGGGACAAGAGATGTTTAATTATAATTGCAGGATATTGTTTTAGAACAGGATAAGACCTGGAGAGAATCTTGTAACACTTGATAATTTTATAGCTAAAGAAGCAGAAGTCCAGAGGGAGCAAAGTAACCCACTTATGATCAGTCCAGTGGTCCTTGCCAGCTTCCTGCCCTAGTACTCGGCTCTCCTCTGGTCCCCATGTCCTAACCAGTCATGCTTTCACTTAGGAATCTTGTTTTCTTGTACTCCCGAGTTATTTCTGGTGATCTCTAATCTGAGCATCCTTCACAAACCACTCTAACTCTCCCTCATCTTTCCCCTACCCCTAGCAGATTCATTCATGATATATGTAAATGTGTGTGCATGCTCTAGATGCTCTCCGGGTATTCATGCAATAGTCAAATTGTATGTCATTTTCAAATCTTATAGTTTCAGGGTATTATTATAAAGTGGTTGTTTTGCTTATTTCAATTTATATTTGAACAGGAAATAGACTCAGAAGCTTAGTTTGCATGTAAGAATGTTATTGAGGAATGCTGTAGGGAAAAGCACCTGTAAGAGAGTGAGGGAAGAGGAAGGACATGACTGTGATGCAGTTGTAACAGGGTCCTCATTGCACCCTACAGGGACAGCCCTGAATTGAGGCAAGAGATCTGGCCTCTGTTCCATCACATGTGGCCATTGAATGTGGTGGCACTGAGAAGGAGGACTAATTTCAACATAATGGCTTCATGGGACCTTAGAGCTAGAAAGGATCTTTAAAATTACCTAATTTAGTCATTTTATTATTCAGACAAGGGGACAAGACCATCAGTAAATTGACTTATCTAAAGTCACACAGATAGGTGTAGAAGTAGGTAGCCTCTGATTGTGACATCCAACAAACACAGGAGGCCCATTTAAATTTGAGCTTCATATAAGTATCCTAATGTATACTTATACTAAAATATTATTTAATGTTTACCTGAAATTCAAACTTAAGTGCCCTGTATTTTCTCTATCTACCCTCAGACTCCAGTTAAAAATTTCTAATGTTATCATGTTCTCTTTCCATTGGTTTCACCAGCTCTTTTCATAAGAGAATTTAAAAACGTAGAATGATACAATTTATGCAGGTTTTTTAAAAAACAATGTAAAATGTTACATATCTTTTAGAAAATGTTTGGAAATCAAGAATGAGTATAAGGGACTATAGAAAATATGCACAGATTTCTGTCACTCGGCGATAATCACTGTGGCTTTGGCATATCTGCTTCCAGGGTCCATTCCAGGGCCAGAGATAGTATCTGCATTTTTTTGTCGAGTTTTAAATAGCATGAGGAGTAGTTTCTTGAGTATCTGACTTATTTTCATATATTAACTGAGACACATGGATTTCCAACTAGCAATGATCACCTCGGTTTTTTATTGCTATATAATTTATAATGGATTGCCACAGGAGAACATTTGAAAGCATTTGGCCGAGTGAGCTGTAGACGGGGAATTTAGATTCAGCCTCAAAACTAGAGCAATACGTGACTCTTTAATAATATTGGTTGCATACTTAATTAGCAATTAGATTTTTAACAATCTGACATATGCCTGTGCTACTCAAAGCCTTTTATGTTCATGATTCTATGTATATAATTTTATTAAGTGTCGGTCATTACTCTTTGTATCTTGTTAGTTCAAATCATTCTCCATTCCTAGGAAGAGGACATTTGTTTTATTCTACTGTCATATTGTATCCCCTCTTACAGCTGAAACTGTCATATCTTGCCACGTTTACCATCCTTTATGTCCTGTTTTCTTTAAGACAGTAAATATATATTTTAAATTTTAAAAATCCAAAATGCTATTTTCATCAAAACTGAAATAAAAATTTTGCCTCGTTCTGCCTTCCTCAATCTGTCCAGTCATAACCTTTTACCATGCCTCTTTGACATTCATGTTTATAATGTGTACGTTTGAACTTGAGCATATTTTTGATATGTAAATGTAGACTCCTTTTTTAAGTGCCTTTAAACTAGATGGTAATTTGGGGCAGGGAGTGAGGGCTCACTGGCGTACATATTAACCAATAAATTCTGTCATACTGGACCTTCCCTACAAGAAATGCAATACATACACATCCCATTTTTAAGCCACAGCTAAAGTGAGCAAAATGACCTGATTGGAAACTTTTGATTTCACACAGAGCCCCCTCCAGTCATCCAAGTGCCTAAYAATGTTACAGTCACTCCTGGAGAGAGAGCAATTTTGACCTGCCTTGTCATCAGTGCGGTGGATTACAATCTAACCTGGCAGAGAAACGACAGAGATGTCAGACTGGCAGAGCCCACAAGAATGAGGACCTTGGCCAACCTCTCACTGGAGCTAAGGAGTGTGAAAGTCAGCGATGAGGGAGAGTACCACTGTGTGGTGTCCAACGAAGGTGGAGCGGCAGCAGCCTCCGTATTCCTGAGAGTGCAAGGTACTGTGTTGATGGTAACTTCTGAATCATGGTGTCCTTGTGTCTTGCTCCTTCAATCTCTGCCCTCCCACACTGGCTATCTCAGAGGGACGACACCTACCCAAGCCATTAGTTTTGAATGAAAGAATGCTTAGGGATCCTCCATTGTCTTAAGGTGATTAAGCTAGAAACTAAAACAACACTAACAAATGGGTAACTTGGCCACCATCTTGACTAATCCCACCAGTTGAAGATGTCTATTTGAAGAGAATATAAAAACTGTCTCTGGATGATTTCATAGTTTGAAATTCTCTCAATTATAATAATTCTTATTGTTTCAATAATCGGTTCAAAATTCTTCCCCAATTTAAATACTGTCTGATTGCATACATAACTGATTTACTTTCTATTTTTAAATTATATTTGATAATTTTACTAATGTTTTAATTCAGAGTTTCAGATGTTTCTCATTTTATCAAAAGTTAACCAGAGTTTTTCTTTTTGACTTCATTTCTTTTGTGTACAGATGTGTGTGCACACACGTGTTCATTGAAAGTAAACTAATATTGAGTCAATCTTGAATTATGTTTCCATAGATCAGATCTCCCTATAGCTACAAACAAAGTGTGTTAGCAATGTGAATTAATGGCTACTAAATATAGATATACATTATTCCATCAAAGGAAGATCAGGAAATGCTCCAAAGTTTCCTTTCAGTGGTGTCATTTGGTTTCTGAATGTCTGTAGACCAACTGAAAGTCTTAATGTAATGAGTAAATTACAGCCAGCAGTTTTTCACTGTTAAGCTAAAAGATTTGGTTACTGCCTCAGCTGATTATGTAATTTCTGATCCTTGATGTGGGACCTTGATTGTTTCAGAGTTGGGCCTATTTGGTTTTCACACAGAGCAATGTTATAATATCCTTGAAGTAATACTCTTAGGTAGTTCATAAGTAAGTTTAAGAGGGTGACCATTGGGTTTCAAGGCTACCTCTTAGAATGTTATTAGTGACAGAAAAATGAAACTACTTTGAGAATTAGCACAATGGTTGACATCTGATTATAGTGTTCTCCTTGGTAGTTGAGACATTCTGCGATTTGAATGTGTCTTGTTAATTGATCTGGTGGAACTTCTAGGAAGACGTTGCCTTTGTAAATAGTTCACTACATTTCTACATAGTAAATGCCTAGATCATGTGTATCAATGCAAGCAGCAATGTTGCTTACTAGAACTCTGGAACCATTTTACMAAACGGATTGCTTCAGATGAAATATGTGCTAATGGATTTGCAGTTTGATATTGGTTCTTCACTTGATGTCCCTGAGAATGGAATTATAAACACAAAACTAGACTTCATTGTTTTCCCAAGATATTATTTTAGATCACTCTATTTAGAGCATTAGAGCAAACTTTCATGGGTAAAAAATGATGCAAGGAATTTGTTTCTAAGAAAAGGAAATAGATTGCTAACTGCACATCCAGAGATTCTGTTTCCATAGATCTATTGTGCAGCCTGGGCATTTTTAACAGACTTCTCAGGTGGTACTGTGAACATATTCTGAAAACTACATAGCATCTATTCCCCAGAATGCACTCTATGATCTAGAAATTGTATCTTGAGGGGAAGCCTTTGACTCTTCTTTCTGCTAAAAGTCATTGTTGTTCAATGCTTTAAATAAGTGCTCAGATAAGATGTTTGTCTTAGTTCATTTTTTGTCACTGTAACAGAATACCTAAGAATGGTTAATTTATAAAGAAAAGAGATTTATTTTGAGTCATGGTTCTGGAAGCTGGGAAGTCTGAGAGCATGATGCTGGCATCTGCTTGACTTCTAGTGAGGGCCTTGTACTATGCCTAGCACAGTAAAAAGGGGAAGTGGGTATGTGCAGAAGAGAGAGCACCAGATGGTGAGTGGCATAGCCTCTGTTTATAGCAAGCCACTTTAGCAGTTAAAATCAGTAGCTGAAAGCAATAACTCACTCCCATGAGAAAGCCATTAATATATCTTAATGACCTAATCACCTCTTAATGGCCCCATTTCCCCACATGAATACAGTGAATTGAATTTCAACGTGAGTTTTAGAATGAACAAATCATATTTAAGATTCAGTAATGTTGTGTAATACCCAAGATATAAATATAAAATGTGAATTTACATGACCGCTAGTCTATACGAACCAGTGGTTTATAGGCATTCTATCATGGTTTGCCCAGTTGGCTTTGAGATTGAGAAATTTAGTGAAAAAGATGGTTTAAGAATCTAACAAAAAATACTCTTGAACTGATCACAATAATTAGAAGAAATAAAAGTCTGTAACAAATTATAACTATCTGAACACATTATTTTATGCACTTTTGGAAACCCAGTGAATGTGCTGGTGCACAGTTGTGAATATTTGATGAGTTAAACTATAGCTAGAGGTATAATTTATGGTAAGTTGAGATGATTTAAATCTGTTGACATATGGTCTTAAATTACAAATTATTTTAATCTTAGAGTTAAATGTTTTAAAAGCAGAAATAAAAATAAGTTCTAAAAAACTCAAAAGATACAAATATTATATAAATGGAGTATCACTTTAGGAATAATTTCCTTGCTTGCAGGAAAATTAGGAAAACATAGTTCATAGCTCCATTTGGGTTCCCCTTTGAGAATTATTTCTGTTGGGAATACTTGAAGGGTTAAAAAAATCCAGACTTCTACAAATTTTATAGTAGTTTCACGAGATATAATAAGCAAGAATTTTCTGGTTTAAAATAACGTTTGTCTAGCATTAAATCCTCTCCTCACCTAATAGTAAAACATCTATAAAAATTCCAAAATACAAAATGAAAGAATACTAAAAACAAGAGGAAATTAAAAGCAGCAAAAATTCTAGGAGGAATTTTATATATACTATATTTTTAAATTTATGTACATATGAATATATAAGTATATATATAGTATTTATTTATATTTTAAGATCAGTAGGATGAAAATCAACATCAGTCCATTTTTTTTTTCTGTCCACATGAAAAGTTGGGAGGAAGTAGCTTGGTCCCTGTTTCATAGTTTGCTTTAAAAAGAAAATGTTTATTTTGCAACTTCTCATGCAAAAAGTCTCAACATAACCCAAGCTTATCCATAAGGACCAAGGAAAGTTTCCATCTGGGTCCTGAAGCTTCAAGACTTAAGACCAAAGCCAAAGGCCCTGTGTCCACCAGAGTTTGCCTAGTGTGATCCAAACATTCTCATCTACTTCCTGCAGCTTTTGGACTGCAGATAGCAAGCTACAAGCCCCAGCACTACCCAAGCTCAAATCATGGGACTTAGGGATAGGTATCATATATCACACACATCCAGGAGCTTGGATGCCATCACCACAAGCCCAGATATTACCTGCACATGCCCTGGAAGGTTTAGAAATGTTCTCCTCCACATCCTATAGATTTTGGACCACAGCTTCTAGTGCCCAAAGCCCTGATAGCATCTGTGCTTGTCCCTTGTGACCTGGAGAAATCATCAACTTGGTTTGACAGCTTCACAAAGGGAGCTAACAGTGCTGCAAGCACCAATTGCAGCCACCCATGGGACTTAAGAAAAGTCCTAGTTTAAAAATGTAGAATCAATTCCTTTAAATTTTTTTAGTTATACATTTTATTTATTTAATTTTATGTGGTGCTGAGGATTGAACCCAGTACCTCATATGTATGAGGCAAGTGCTCTGCCACTGAGCCATAATCCCAGCCCTAGAATCAATTTTTAAAATATATGTTATTTAATATTGCAAATTAGAAGTGGAATAAACAAARCAGCCCATAATCATAATCATCACCTATGTGTGTGAGTGTGCGTGTGTGCGTGTGCTGGGGACCAAATCCAGGGCTTGCATGTATTAAGCTTGTGCTGTACCAGTAAGCTATACCACCAGCCCCTACTTCTTTACTACCTTTTATTTTCAGTGTATAGGACAGTATTTACTGTTTGCTTCTGAATTTTTTTCAGTCCAAGAGAGATATACATGGCTTCTACATTTTTAAACATGATTCTACATTTTTAAACTAGTAAATTATTAACATACTTTGTACGTCTATCTGAATATTTCTGTATTTGCTTTTCTTTTACCTTGATTATTATTTGAATAGACTGATGATGATTCAACCAGATGCTAACATTTTGGAGGTTTTTAAAACTATCCAGTTTTCTAAATTTAAGTTCAAYATGTGTTTTTTTAAAGTATAGATTTGTTTTAATGTATAGATATGTTTTAATGAAAATAATATACACATTTTGAAACTTTGAACTACTATACCACAGATAAAATATAACCATTAATACAGCTATTCATTTCATGGATTCTTCATAAATTTACCTGTAGATCAAGTGTGCAGTTTTTACTTAACAGTGTATAGTTTTTATTCAACAGAAATGTATTCACTAAAAGGCATGAGCAAGAATTTCCATAGCAGCCCCATTTATAGTAGACCTAATTAAAAACAAAATGCCAGTAAGAGCAGATAAAAATATTTAGGCATGAATAATCTATTGCTATTGAAAGTGAAGAGATAGCAGTTGGAAAGGGATAGGAGGACTGAAGGTAATATTCTAGTTCTTAACCTGGGAGTCAGTTACACAATGTGTTCAGCACCCAGGGGCTCATGCACTCTACCACTGAGCTATATTCCAGCCCTTTATATATAAAAAAAAAAAAAAAGAAAAGTCCTGTTTGTGTTCCACATTACCAGTGCCACGGGTCCTCGTGTCACTTGTGCTTACCCTGCAGCACCTGGGAAAGGTCCCTAACAAAAGTGTAGCTGCTTTTGCCACAGGTCTAGGTATCTCCCATATTTATCCTGAGAGTCCTGGGGAAAGTTTCCTTTAATCCTGTGGCTTGAGGCTGTGACTCCTGGTGCCCTAATCCTTGATGTCACCTATACTTGCTCTGAGGTACCCCACAACAGTTTTCTCCTCATCCCACATGACTGAGGTGTGGCACCTGCCACCACAAACCAAGAGCCTGAGGAAGGCTTTTGGAAGCTT